ACATGATCTATCATAATGATTTTAATAAGCCAACAACATACAAAAAACAGTACTTCTGTTTTATCCTCCACATACTGGTTATGCTAGCTAAATATTAATTTTTAATCCAAAATTCAAATAACATAAGGACTGACTTTTTTAAAAAGTAAATTTAGCACTTATCAAAGACTTATTGTTAATAATAAAAACTGGGATTGTTATCAAATTTTAAAGCCAAATGTCAGCAATCACTTTTTGACAATATTTTGTGAGAGTGAATTGATAAATTTATTAAAGTATATAAGGCTACAGTACTCAGAGCTGTTCAATTTATTCTATGCCATTACTATAGTACTGCAAAGGATTAGAGAATTTGTTTTTGGGGTCAAAATCTAATGCGATTTATTCCTGAAATTCAGTTTGCGTGTTTTTAAAATAATGCTTTTCACTCTCATATGTATCCAGGTTGAAAGCAAATAAAATATCACCATAAGACCTACTGAAATAATGAAAATTTTCAAGAAGCCTGAAATATAAGCTCCTGTGAAACAAGCACTACTTAACTTTACAAAATCACCTTGTCTCAAGAAGGTAATACTTAAAGTAAAATTCAAAGGATGATTCCAACATTAAAAATCAAAAGGAAATAAAAAAGAAAAAAGGAAATAGATTTTGTTGAAGACAAAATGAGATTAATATTAGGGTAGAATAGAATCCATTAAAAGTTATTTTTTCATGTTTGTATTTTGTTATAATGAACGTTGCTTGCAAAACAGAACAGTAATAGGGTCTCCAAAATACAAAAAGTTTGCTATAATGGAAAACGACTCCTTTGTCACTTGCCCACAGAAAACTATCTATCCTGATTTTACAGACCTCCAAGAAAGAACAAAAGTCTTTCTACAATTTATATTAAACTTGTGTCAATAACTCCTTTTCATCTAGGGTGGGAAGCATGTTTCTTTTACTTATATCTGTTATTTCTGTCCCTAGCAGAGTGCTGGAGCCTCTGTGCATCAATGCCCTCATTCATTCGATCATTTATTCATTCATTCAACAAGTATGTATTAGGCACTTAGTCTGTGCCAGAAACTGTTTAAGTCATAACAAATGAGAGGGCCCTGCCCAGGTACCATAAAGTCTACAGAGGGAGACAGACATTTATCAAACAAATATGGAAACAGTTAGGTTCTTATTGTGAAGATGCTGCAAAGGAAAAGTACAGAGTATGATGAAGATACCTGGGAACGTACTCTAATTTTAGGAAGGAAGGGTCAAAGAGGTCAGGAAAGGTTCCCCTGAAGAATGACATTTAAACTGAGACTTGAAAATTTACTAGGAGTTGGCCAGATTTGGAAAGGGGTGGGGAAGCAGTCCAGGCAAGGGTGCTAGAACATGTACAAAGGCCTCCCAGTCAGAAAGGAGTTTATGTATCTAGCAATCGAAAGGCACAGTAAATGAGAAAGGCTAGGGATAAGGATGGAGAGCTGGATAGGAGACAAAATTGTCAGTACAAAGAGTTAAGATAGTAATAGTATTTGAAAACTGAAGTCATTTTATAGTCTTCTTCTCTTGTAAAATATATAATATAAGGGGACTGAGTCTACAATACTCAAGACCTGCAATAAGAAGTCCTGGATTATGTGGTGGTCTCACCAGTGACCAGTTACAACAACTCTGCACTTAATCAATCTTTACTTCTTCATGCTCTTCGTAAACATTTACTCAATATTTTACCCACTTACTGGGAATATAATAATAATCCACAGTCCTCTTTTATATCCTGAAAAAGAAAGAGATAGCTGTATATTGGAGACATTCTAAGTCCTGTAAGAGATTATGTCCAAAGGCTGAAATAAGGCTCCTGCAAAACTCAAAATGAGAATATGGACACTGGTAAACTGCAAACTACTATAAAAATATAAGTGTACACATAACTCTGTGCAGATACCCAAAATGATCATAGTACTCCAGCATGTGATTGAAAGATTATAAATACGATAGAAACATAACTCCACCACTTCAAATAGGTGAAATATTATAACTATAATGGACCTCAGAAATGAAGTTAGTGGCAGAACTAAACCATGGACAAACACTAACACATGCTGAACAAGTATATTAATTGTACTTAGTTTTAATTTTCTCAACTTTTAGTTCAAAAGCTCATTCCACAACCTCATACCTGCATGCCAAAAATTAGAACTCATTTCACACTTCCCCAGACAAAAAGCAAATGCCTACACTATCGTCTAGAAAATACATTATTGCTTTACTATCACTCACTCATGCTCAGTTTGTGATCTACTTAAAATGATGGCATCTTTTTAATGTAGCACAAAGCCAGTTTATCCCCCACATAATTTTCCATTTGTTTAGTTGGTCTTCCTTCTTTATGTACTGCCTTACTCATGGTGCTACATTACTCCTAATTTTACTTCATTCCATAAGTACCCTAAATCTCTTCTATTTTAAAGGTCATATTAATTTCCAGAACATCTTAACTTCAATCATAGGAGAACATAAGATCTCTGATCCTAGAAAGTGTTTTTGCATTCAAAAGGTGATAGTATTAAAAATTTCAAGAGTACATTCAAATTGTAGCATATTTCAATGGCCAACTTACACAACAGTAAATCGTGACTGATTACCTGCTCAGTAGATAGCTGATTCTTATTTACAAACTCACTGCAAAGAAATCCTGATGTCAATGAATATACTCCAAAATTATATTAAGGAACTATCCAGTAATATTCATGAACTATAACTGGTCATATTAACAACTATACAAGATAAGACAGGAACAAGCATGCTGCTTTCTGCTAAATATGTAAAAAGTTTTTTTTATGTCTTTTAATGTAAAATAAGGATAAGTTAAAAACCATAGATGATGCTAAGAAAAATATGTAGGAGCCTCATGTTATTTACACAAACATTCCAGAATCAAAAAAATTAGGGTAAAAGTAAATAAAAATTAACAAAATGTGATGTTACCTCCAAAAAATGCAATATAACTTCTTTTCTAGTAATGAGTACACTAAACTCTCGATGCTGTATTATTCTAAAAATGTGTAAAGTAAGTTTTGTGAAAGAATCTCAATCCCATTGTTGTCAGTTTCACAAAATGAGAGTGAAAAGTCCTAAGGTAGGAAAAGAATATCTTTACCTGTAAGGATAAGATATACTGTTTGACGTTCTCCTATATCATTATCTACCGTTTCAAGTGGTAGTACAGTTCATCATTTAATGTACTCTTAATAAAAAAGCATTTGTAAGTTGAAATCTATTTTTTTTTTTTTCCAAAAAGTTAGAGTGCGTCCTTTTATTGAGGAAATTTCTCCCCTGTTCAAAGTCTTCGCCTCACAAACGGCTTCTTAGAAATACATAAAATGCATTACTTTGCAACTTCCTCCACCCTCCTGGAAAAACACAACCAACTCTTTCTGGTGCAGCAGCTCTAATTCAAAAGCTAGACTACAAATGGATTAGATTCAGATCTGTCTCTACGGGTGTGACCTTGGGCACGTAATTCATCCCCTTGGTTTCCTCATCGGCATCCCAAAGCGAATGTTCTTTGAAAAGAGTAAAGGTAGAAACATATCTTAAGAATTAGATCTAAGATGGTTAAGGTTTTCTGCTTAAGGAAAAATTACCTCCTTAGAGGGACCATATCATAAAAATGGAACAGAATCCGTAGGTCTCTGCCAACATCTGACTCTCCCTTCCACAGTTCTCTCTTTTCCTCAAAGGGTATAACCTGAGTCACCCCAAAAGCGACTCCCAAGCGCCCTTTCCTTCCTCCACTCCTTCCCTATCTTACTTTTAAAGCAGGGCGGGGGGAACAGCCTCTCCCCTCCCCAAGCCACACCTTTAGAGGACCCCACCCCAGGCACATCCGCCCTCTCACTTCTCCGGGGGGTACCCTTAGGGGCCAACCTCGCCCTTCCCCTCCCGCCCCACCTAGAGGAGACTTCCTGGAGGCGTTCGGACCGGAGCAGGGCAGGCGGCATTTACAAACCCGCTTTACGCCATTCGCGTAGAGTAACCTCGCTTACGCCCATAGGGCCCCATTCTGAGTCCCGTCCGCTCCGCCTGCCAGCACCAAGCCCGAGTGCCTCAGCCACAGTCCCTGTGTGAGCCCAAACCTCTTCTGCTCCGCCTAGGGCTACAGGGACTGAGACAGAACAGCCACACCTTACCGGCAACTGAGGCACTCACTTCACTTTCCACCTTGGAGCCCTCTTCAACTCCCGGATCAATTCACTCCGGCGACGCCGGAAGGACCCGAGAGGAACCAGGCGTTGTCCGGAATCTTGCCCAGCCGGAGTCGCGCAGGGGCCTATGGGGACTCGTAGTTCCGCTCGCCGACATCGTCGGCAAGTTCTGTGCATGCAAGACTACAATTCCCGGCAGGTGGTGCGATGGAGCCTAAGGCGATGGGTGGGGACACTTCCAGCCAATAGTAGGAGAGTTCCCTGCCTTTGCGGGAGGAGGTGAAATGAAGAGAGAGTGCACGGAAAGAAGAAGCAGGGAGGGGTCAGCTCTCACCTGCGCCAATCAGGGTGCAGGGTTGGCCCCGCGGCAACTCACCCTTTGTGGGGGCGGTCTAGCTGTAAAAAGGAAGGAAGCAGAGTAGAGTCCGGGGGAAGAGTTCGAAGTAGGGACTGTGGGATCACTGAGCTGTGGACGCAGCGTGGGTGGAAAGGGAGCATCGGGAGAATCGCTGGGGAGGAGGGAGGGCGCGGTGTGGGGACGCATCCTGGTCGGAGGAGCAGGCACACCCGGCGACCAGACCTGTGGGTCGAGGAGGGATAGGTTGAGCCTGGACTTCTCGCAGAGGCGCCGGGGCAGGGCGGGAGGCAGCTCCAGGTGTGAGGCCACCGAGTGAGAGGAGAAGGGTCCCCAGGGGGAGGGAAGCGGCAGAACAACTGCAGAAGTGCAGGGAGCGAAAGGTACCAGGGTAGCAGCTTCCCGCCGCCTCCTGCCTAGGCAGCATCAGGAATAGCCGGGGGAGGAGCAACAGCTGCCGAATTCGCCAACTAGAAGAGGGGGAGGCGGAGCTTGGGTCCCTGTAGCCGCCGAAGGCGCAGTCTGGACTGTAGTTTCCCGGGAGAGGCAAGAGCAGAAAGAGCGGAGCCGAGCGCAGTCCTTGGAGCATCAGCTCCCGCATCCCGCCAGGGTTTGCAGGTGTGTGGGAGGTAAGCGTGGGTGCTTCTCTGGTGTCCACACACTGCACGGGAGAAATCATCTTCCAATAGGAATTATAACAAGGCACGGCTAAAAACAGTCTCTGACTCGCGTTAGAGAACTGGTGCAACCCTTTTAGGTGAAATGTACATTTTTGGACTTTAAGTGCGGGGGTGGGGGGAAGCGAAAGGTGGCTTGACTCTGGGTATAAAGGGCGTGGTTAGTGTTTCTGATTTGAGTTGTACTATCAAAACTGTTCTGGGATTGAGGAGAGCCCTGCTAATTGGGAACAAGGGGGATGCTATCTGGATAGGTGCGTAGCTGGCAAAAAAAAAAAAAAATGTCATTGCTACAGAATTACTTCAGAACTCTTTAACTAGGAAAATAACTTTGCATTCTTCAACGTCTACCCTTTACGTTTTTTTATCAGATTGTCCTGCTACCGACCTGTTTCCCAGGGTGGTTGTACTGCTGGTTCCTAGAATTGAAAGAGATCTGTGTTAAAGAAGCAAGTGTAGGCAGAAATAATTAAGATTGACTGAATCTATCAGAAGTATAACTTTTGCCAGCAATAATGTAAAAATGTGTTTTAATAGATGGATACTTAGCTTTTTTTTACAGTGGCTCTAGAAATTGAAACAAAGACCGGGACTCAGCCTATATTAGGAACGTATGATGTACTTCATTGTTGCTCCTTATTCTCTCATTTGTCGGGTAATATTTGTACAGTTTAAAAAACAAAAGTACAAGAAAAGCTGTGCGAGGATCTTTTCTGTTTAGAGAATATGTGCTCATAGATTACCCTTAGAATGTGTTATGATGGCTTCAGATTTAAAACACATTTAATAGTATCATAAAATAATAATTCATTGTTGGTATTAAACCATGTGTGATTTCTTTGAATGTAATTAAATACCTATGGGTGAAAATATGTTTAATACTACGTAAAGATGAAAGTCGCACATACCTTTGTGTAACAAAGGCAAAATTACAGCCTTTTTTAGAAAAGTAGATAAAAAAACAATTTTTCTAATTTTTTTTTTTGTTACAGAGGTTCCCCAGGTTACATAGCTTTTAATCATAGCAGATTGCAGCACATTTTGCTCTGAAATACATTCATTGTGACAGTTGTATATTTCAGAGTCTGCCTGAATACTTTAATCTGGATTTATTTGAACTAAGGTCAATAAAATGGAGTAATTATCTTCTATTTTCTTGTTTTCATGCTTTCTTGACTTAAGATTTTTGGATTTTATTTCTGTGAGGCACACAAAAATTCCTTTTTGAAAAGAAATGGCTGGAAGGAATTCTATTCATAGCTTAAAGTTCATTCCTACAGAATGTTACTACTGATAAGCCTAAGTGACTTATCAATGTATTTACGCCTCCCTTACAGGACCCTTTCCCACACTCTCATATGCCAGAGAAATATATAGACTGACAGATCTTAGGAAAAACAGCTGCTTTTAGATTGTCCCCAAGCAGATTAGGTAAGTATTAGAAGCAGCAGAGACCTCAGAATAAAGAAAAAGCAACAGTATTCATTAAACTTTGCAGCCATGGTAAGGATCTGATTTTTATCTTTGCTATATCACCTCAGAGTCTATTAATTCACATAGCTGATATGACCCTGTGAAAATGATTATAGTGAGGCTTGGAAAAGATTGTTTGCCCTTTTTATTTGTGATTAAGTAGATTGTCCGAATCAGTCGTAGAATCTCTTTCAGGCTCTGCTATTGATTCATTTTGTGAAATTGAACATTTGCTGTCATTGGTGTATTTCTCCCCTGTAATAATAATAATTAATAATAATACTGGCAATGGTGTTCTTTCAGAGTCTTTATTAAAAGACCTTTTTGAAAGAGTTTGGTTGGGAGTCAGTTAATAATCAAGTAAAAGGATAGAAAATAAATATCAAATTTGAAATTCAGATGTACTTTGAATCCCAACTATTTATAGGTCTTCTACTCTAAGGTATCATGAAAGATAGAATATTGGTAGGAATGAATGAGTTTGCAATATTAAAGTACCGGATTTTTTTGCCTGTTTCCAAGATTTGAACCCTTTTTATGTCATTGAAAAAGATTAGGTTGCTATATCATTTGGGAGTAAGATCATGTTTTTATGAGGGAGAAAATCATTAGCGATATATAGTACTTGGGTATTTGTTATGTTGAACTGGACACATTTTATAAATTGATGTTCACATTAAATCTCAGCTAATCTGAAGAGTTCTTGATTGTATGTTACTGGTGTTTAGAAGGTTCATTACATTACAGTTTATAATTTTATGTAAAGTACTACTTATGTTAAAAGCATGTTTGTTCTGCTTTTGATTTTTACTACTTGTGTATGGCTATCAGTGACTATATGACATGATGAAAAGGAAAAACCAGTGAAGGCAGAATGTCTCTTGAATGGAAGATGTTCTAGGATTAATGTTCTTTAGCCAAAAAACTTGGTTAATTTCAAATTACAAAATATATTTTGGACTTTTTAAAATTTAAAATTCTAACTGTAAGCCTATTAGTAGCATGGATTTTTTCTTTCTAAGGAGGATTCATCGATGCATGTAGCACTAAAGAGCAAGACTTAAAGGTTCAATATCAAATGGATTTGGTGGGATGGGGAGAGGGGAGGGGCTTTACAAGTGGGGATAGATACAAAGAAAATTGTTTGAGAAACATACCCTTAGCAAGAGAAAAAGATTTTGTCTTTTTTTGTTAAATGCCTATAAGTGATTCCATGATCCTCCCCACACCAATCATTAATTTCTAGAGGTTTATATTTATAGTGAGATACAGTACTTTCCTACATCATCATTTTAATTGGAGTCAGTTTGACATTAATTCATTAGATTTTGAATAATCATGAGTTATTGAAGCAAAGCAGAAAAGATTGTGCATGTATATAGTCACTTTAAGTGAAACTTATTATTTGGACATAATATTAAAAAACAAAAACCTAAAATAATATTTCGCACCTTAATAACAGAGATACTTGAACTAGACACTAAAGATAAGCAAGAGCCACACATATACACCCACCTCCTTTTAAAGCAAACTCTTAAGGTTAAACACTGCTTTGGGGATCAAGATTATTATACGAAGATAAGGATTTACTTTTGTTTGCAATTTTACCTGTAATGTTTTCAGAATTTAGCCCCTAAAGTTTGTTGAGTATATCTTAAGTAATTAGATTATTAGATCCTGCAGACTATATCCTTTTTTTCTATCTCCTGCTGGTTCTGAGCTCCTTATATCATGCTCAGCATGAAGAGGTAGCCCTATAACCTCTTACTGAATTAGAACCATTGACCAATAAGTCTTTATACATTGAGACATCTTGCACTTTGATAGACAAGAATCAGTTGACCTTACAAAATTATTACTGTAGATTAGGCCTACTGAGAATGTCTTTGTGCTGGTTAGCCTTTGCAAAAGTGTCGATTGAGCCCAATTTGATTCAAACTGTGTGGGCCGCAAAAAGACATCTACAACTTTGCATGTTAGTGTTTCTAAATTCATTTCATGGATAGGGAATGTGGGTGAGAGGAAAAGGCTCTCCACCCTTGGCACCCAAGGTCTCCATTTTACAGTCACGGAAGCCTCTGTATGCCTAACCCCCATTTTACCTCAAGTAAAATATCTTTGTTAAAGCTTATCTATAAAGAACATATTTCACTCTATAAAAACTGAATTTGCTCTTCTATTTTTCTAATCATTCCTTCCAGAAAAAAAAAAAAAAAAAAAACAACAAGAAAAGAAGTCAGACTAATTATGTTTAAGTGCATGTGGAGTTGGGCATTTATTGTTTTTTTGCATTCGACCTTCTAGAAACAAATTAATCTGATTGGTGTTAGAATTAAGAATTCAAGTGTGATTTTCATTTTATTAGTATAAAGCCTGAGAAATTCTAGTTAATTATAAATAATTCCTTAGTACTCAATTAAATAATAACAGACATTTAACTGCCTTTTGTTTGTATTTTAACATACTTTTACTAGCATGCTAATAGGTACAAATTGGTTTAGAAATGATGATTGATCTTCCTTCTTGTTCTTTTGGCATTACTGTTAACGCTTAGCACTGTGCCTTGTGTAGAATTGGCTGAGTTCATAATTGTCTTCACCAGATGCTTAGTATCTTCAGAACTAAGACTGAGTTTCAGTTATTTTTGTACTTATACATAGTTTATACTTGGTAACAATTTGTTCAAATATTTGACAACCTATAACAGAGCATCATTTTACGTTTTTCACAAACAAGTACAACTGGAAAAATAAATTTTTCCTAGTCGTCTGTTTTAGTACCACATTTAGCTCTCTGCCCACAACAGTTGCTTATATATAGCTAAATATAAATATCACTGTCTCATTGGATTTCTGAATGAATAGAGCAAATATTGCTATGAACTGCAATCTTGCATATGAGTGTATACTTTATATATAAATTTATTAATTGGATGTCACTTGGAATTTGTGTGGTCTCTCCTTGCCTCTAGAACTTTACTGACTTAAAGATGTACTTTTAAATAACACTTCCTACATACATCCATACTTTCTAGGACTTTCTTTTCTTGACACAAAGAAATAGAGACTTGGAGAAAAATAGATGTATGAAATATGAGGCTTTATTTTAATTAAAATTTAACTGGTTTTGAATGTTCTGTTTTCAGTGAACGGTTGCATTGGGAAGCCCTTTTTTATCAAGCTTATTAAACTTAAATTACACAGGTATTTGTCATATACCTGTGTAATTTCATGTCATAGCCAGCATAAGAAGGGGTGAGTTCTGAGATTTGGCATTAACAGTGCTCAGTGCTGGCATTCTGTACAGCATAGCTGCTGAAATGTGCATGGTACCTCAAAGTCCAGCCACTGCTTCAAGGCCCCCTTCTGGTTTAGTCTAGGAAGGGAGCCTTCTGAGCTTTTTATAGCTTGTTAGTGTGGAAAAGAAGGCAGATGGAATTTACTTTGATTTAATCTCCTCATTTTCTTAAGTGTATTGTT